ATGTCTTGTTTTACGTTTTCCTGCCCCGCTTCTAATGCAAGTGATTGAATATGCGCTTTATGTGTGGTTAAAAATTCTGCATCAATCAACAGACAAAATACACCTCATTGTACAATAACATTATGGTGGTGGGAGAATATCGGAAACACCCTGGATCAGTATTTGAAGAGGACAACCCACTCATCATAAAGGCTAGAGCTCCCTCTGTTCATCACAGGGGGTTACACCTGAGGGAGACCACTGCTGTCAATTATTAAAAACAGGTATGACTACAGGTCATAAGCAGAACTGAATTGTTGTATTGAAATGTGCATAGTGTAATGGGCTTTTTGGTGTACGTATTTACACAGAAAATGACCATTAAAATGCCCGGGCAGAGGATCAATCACTCTCATCAGGGGAAGCTCTTCATCCTCAGCCCTGGAGTAAAACACAAGAGTATCTGCCCACATTCATAAAATAGAGGGAGGTCCCTAATTCCACAATAGCCTATAGGGCTTCAGATTCATGTAGGAACCTGTCAGAGGGAAGAAGCATGTTTATGAATGAACAAGCTGCTTCTCTGCCTGAGTGCAGTGTGTAGTCTGTTGAGCAAACGGGTGAATAAGGAGTCCTGTGTGATGTGGAAACATCCATCATTGCATTTGAATCATGTTGCATTTCCTTATTTAGGATGCATACACAAATGCCTTTATACACTTTAAAACAACAGAGGTCTGGGCGAAACGATCCCATTTGGGGCTCCAGTTGGTGAGCTGTGTAGCCTACAGGAGCTATTAGAAAGTTTCCACACTTCCAACTGTTAGTGGGTTAGACAGCTGATTGACAGCATATGATTTGGATGTTTGGATTTTACGCAGTGGTTTCTGTATCTCCACGGCCTCAGAGATGGGTATCCAGATTATTGATAGTGGTGAATGCCAGCGGGCATTAGAACAGCAAGCGGCCATCTGCCAGCCGAGCGAACTAGCAACCCCACCAGCTGCAGTCGCAAAACGCCCTACAAAGCAGGACATGCATGCAGCTTCTGACGTCTGCGGCCACACTGCGCTACAAAGCCCAGAAAAAACCAGGAGCGGAAACAATGAGAATCAAGCTTATAAACGCCGCATAGGTCCACGAACAGCAAGTTTTTGAGAAGAGGCTTCCGTTAAGTGCACATCAGTTCATTTCGGATGACCGGTTTGTGCGATTATTTTTCCATGTTGAAAAAATATACATAAAAAGACTCATGCAGGGGCACTTTAATACCCCGACATGGCGACGGCAAGAAAAGGGAGAGAGCTTTTTACTATTTTGGAAACTAGCGCGGACACAGAAAGTACCACGGTGTGCGACAGCCAAGACTCTCCGCTTAATCTTTCGGCCGATGTGAAGTGGTTCGAAATTCCTTACAGAAAGCCAGACTCGGACGAGGAAGACGAAGTGCGGGAGGAGGAGGACGGCGAGGGGGAGAATGGATTCACGAGCACAGCAGCCGCGGCGGAGACTGCAGACGCGGCCAGCTTCATCGCGGGAGGAGGCTGCAACATAATTTTGGTCACTGGCAGTAATGGGATCGAGCACGACGAGGAGGAGTACGCAGAGGACTGTTATTATTCTACCTCCACTAACTGCTCTGATACCACCTCAAACGATTCGGATATTGATTTCTCCGATTTGGAGGAGGAGGAGCGCAGGAGTTTTTTCAGCTTTGAAGATGACTCGGACGAGGACTGCACTTCTGCCGACTTCTGGGGTGAACCTGATCAGGTAATTTCAATCGAACCATTCTCCGCTGTCAGCGGCCCTCAGCACTCGCTGGGGGACGATGCTGACACCCGTGACTATTTCCGGATACTCTTCCCAGATTCTCTTTTTGAACACATGGTAGAACAAACAAACAAATACGCCCTCTATCGGCAAAGGAGGAGTGGAAAATCAGACCCCCACTGGCACCCCACTGATGTCAGGGAGATGGAAGCTTATCTGGGTTTGAACATTCTCATGGGCATCAATCAGCTTCCAGACACTGGCATGTACTGGGCCAGTGACATTTTCATAGGCAACGCAGGCTTTAAAAAAACAATGACAGCCAGGCGCTTTGAAAAGCTCACCCAGTATCTCCAGCTGTGTGACCGTGAAACTGAGCCTGTGCGTGGAGAGCGTGGGTATGACGCCCTCTTCAAAATCAGGCCTCTCCTTGATGTGGTGGAGAACACCATGTGGGACGCGTACACACCCAACCGCTGTTTGACCGTAGACAAGTGTGCCGTTGTCATGAAGGGACGTTTCTCCCCCACGCAGTACATGCCCTCCAAGCCCCTGAGGAAAGGGCTGACAGTGTGGATGCTGTGTGACTCGCGCACTGGCTACTGCCACCGGGCCACGATCTACGTAGGCAAGCCCGGTGAAGACGAGGCAGCTGCCTCCCTGGGCTACAGGGTAGTGACCTCCCTAGTGCGTGGCCTGGAGCGTCAGCACCACCATCTCTTCATGGACAGCTTCTTCACGTCAGTGCCCCTCCTCCAGCGGCTGCTGAGGGATGGACTGTACGCCTGCGGGCCCACCCAGCCGGGGCGCAAAGGTTACCCAGAGGTCCTGCGCCCCCGCAATGTCGGAAAGCTGTCACAGGGTGAGTTCTACCAGTGTCAACGGGGCAACCTGGTTGCCACTGTGACACGGGATGTCAAGGTGGTCAGCTGCCTCTCCACCAACTCTGCTCCTGGGATTGTGGGCATCAGTCCGGGTCGGCAGCAGCTGGAGGCAGACGGGGAGGGTGAGAGCGACGGCATGAACTGCTCAGGTTTGTCTTTCGGTGTACCTCGACCTCTGCCCCTGCTGTTGTACCAGGAGAACATGAGGGGTGTTGACCTGTGTGACCAGCTGAGAGAGTGCTACCAGGTTGGCAGGCCATGCAAGAAGTGGTGGCGCTACTTCCTGTGGTTCTACGTCAATCTGTGCATCGTCAACGCCTACATCATCCTGAGGGAGAGCAGAGGGGGCACGCCGCCAGCGGGCTTCAACGGCAAGCAGTTCACTCAGCGCCACTTCCGGGTGCGCCTGGCGCAGCAGCTGATTGGAGACTACCAGGGGGCAAGGGGCATGGAGCGGGCCGCACGCAAGAGACACGCAGATTCACCCATAGAGTACGGACACCGCCTGGAGCGCATGTCGGAGCGCTCTCGCCGCTGCAGGAACTGCACCAACAAGGGACTGCGTCATGAAAGTGTTTTCGGCTGCAAGATATGCAATGTCCACCTATGCAGGGGAGGGTGCTTCTCTGAGTTTCATAAATAACATTGAACTGCTTTTTGTTTTTATATCCTTTCTGTAATCAAACAACTTGTGTCAAGGGATTTTTTTAAACAGTAAAAGAATTTGTAATTCCAAAGGTTACCACTACAAGTGCACAATATAGTCACAGACGTTATGTAGAACTAGTTTTAGGATAGAAGTATTATTGCACGTATAATAGAGAAAGTAAATGGAGAAACTGTAGATTATTTGAATTAGTATAGAATGTTTTGGCAACTTGCCTTCTGTAACACTGACAGAATTGCCTTGTGTCACTTTTTTATACGTTTAAAATAATGAGAAGGATTTTATATGAAAAAGAAGAAATCAAACTTTTCTGCACTTACAATAGATCAGAAAATGTTTACTATGGGAAGTTTATCTCTCTCCTTTTCCAAAATAAAATATTCATCATGATGTACTGAACTGAATCACCTGTTTCTTTGTGTGTGTGGTATTGAAGCATGGATAACATCATCATCGTTAATATCAAAGAGGGAAAACAATGTGAATATGATCATAAAATCTGAGCATTAAATTAATTGACACTGGTTTAAATGAGGCTCAGCTTTGGTTGCTCCTGGTCCTTCACACACATGGAAATGTGTGTGTCTCTGGGCCTTCAAGGGGACACAGCTTGGAGCAATTAGAGAGTAGAGAAAGCCCCTCAGTACTCTGCAGCCAACGGACCTCGTAATGCCATTTCTTTCTCCAACCGCACCACTTACACGGAGCCATCTGTGGCCCCACTCTACTGGGTCCAAACTCAGAACGTGATAGTTGTCACTGACTTGATTGAAAAATGGAAGAAAGATGATAGAAACCTCACTTTTTGGTAGAAGGATCTTTATGTCTCAGTGGTGAGAGAAAGACAAAAGGGTGAGGAGGACATTTGAATCAGCATGTACACAATGAGTTAAAGGAGGGTGTTGGATCAAAGCTTCCCATGCTATCCCGAGAGAGGAGTTATTAACAATTAATTGAATTAAGAAATATTTGTGACGAGCGTTAAACATAACGTGTATTTTCATCAAAGCTTTTCTCTCCTGTTATCAGGCGGTATGTAAGCAGAGAGAGGCCGCTTCAGCAGCTTCGACTAGCCGTCTCCTGTGTCTCTTTCTGAGGTCTCTCTTCTTCCTCTCTCTCCCTCTCTCTCTCTCTCTCTCCCTCCTCAGGCTCTGCTCTGCCATCCTACACATTCACACACACACTCACACACACACACACACACGCACACACACACCAACACATACCCACATACCCTCCCTTCCCCTTCACTCCGCTCTTTTGCAGGCTCTCTCAGCCGTTCTCCAGCTGGGAGAGGGTTAGTCAACTGGACGGCCATCCCGCTGATCTGCGGGAGCCCCTTTGGGGAGTTACCATGGCAACCGTGGCCGATGAAGACAGGGAGTCGCCAGCAGGCCCGCATGGTTGTCATGGTGCTAGCTCTGGCTACGGAGGTGGGAGGTGCCAAAGGCCACACCTCCCTACCCCTTCTCCAAAACCAAAGCATGGCGTGTGTGTGTGTGTGTGTGTGTGTGTGTGTGTGTGTGTGTGTGTGGTGTGTGTGTGCGTGTAGGGAGGGAGCTGGCTGGCTGACAGCATGCACACTGTACACAGAGCCAGACTGGTTACCAGGCAGGCTCTCTGCTACAGCACAGCCGACACCATGGCTGCTGCCAAAAATGAACAGAATGACATGAAACTGCTGCTCTGGAGATGTCTTCATGCAGGTGTGGGATTCAGGCATTAGAGGAATCTGTCTCACTGTGTTCAGCGTCAAACCGAATCCCACTGAAAGTCACTCTTCTATTTCATTTAGGAACCACCCTGCTGCTTTGCAGATATCTTCATGCAGGTGCTTTTTTTTAATGATCTGCACTGTATAGTGTGCTACTTAAAACCAAATGATGTGCTGTTTAATCAAACAGCTTTTAGATCCTGTACTTTCTATTTTTCCAACATTTGCTGAGTTATTTCATTGGCTGTCAGTCAGTCCTCCTCACCCACATAGTCATTATACTATCACAGTTATTACAGACGCTTACAATAAGTGATACATAAAAGCTGTTTGACGTACAATTTGAATTACATTTGATGTGTTTCCACTCAAATATTTATACATTTTCTAACAGGGTCAAGTAACACACAATAACAAGTGAATTGCAGCAAAGGTGAGTTAAAATATGAGCAACATTTTTCAATTCCCACAACAGCAGTGCAGAGTACATGTACACCTGAACAGCAAGATCTGAAGCCTGCGTTTGTTGGTTACTCTTGTGCGTTTGTGTTATTAATGTAGTGAGTAATCTCTGTTTTGTGGGCTGAACGTGAAATCCTGAAGACTTATTTGTGCGTCAGAACCAAACACTGTTCCCTCTCTCTCTCTCTCTCTCTCTCTCTCTCTCTCTCTCTCTCTCTGGGTAGGTGGGTGTGCTGTGGGCTGTGGTGTCACAATAGGCAGATCTAATGTTTCCAGGATGGATCCCAACCATAAAATGCTCAGCTCTCAACATGTTTCCCCTCCTGGGCAGGGAAAGATCTCTGAGTCTCTGTCAAGAACATGGGCCTGGTTTCACTTAAGAACTGCTGCTTGGGTAACACATGTACTGTTAGAATCGTGAATGTGCCTTTGTTCAATACTTTTCCTCTGTTGCAAAATGAGTCCATGGACAAAGATGAGCGTGAGAAACCCCCAACATCTAATTCTCTCTTACTGAGTCATTGTTTGTCTCTTCATTCCCAACAGTCACGATCGTGACGACGAATTACTTCTTAAATGTAAATTATTCATATCGGCTCAAATTAATTAGTGACCTCATACAGAAGAAGCCTGTCTTTACCTTTACTCTCTTATTAAAGGACTTCTTCCCCTAACATCCAAATTCAGCTTTTTACATATTCCAGTGCAGTAGTAGAGAGTAACTAAGTACATTTACTCAAGTACATGTAAGTACAATTTTTAGGTAGTTCTGCAGTTAGTTAGTTAGGTAGTTGTAGCAGAACTATATGTTTTTCATCTTTCTTACCCATGAAGCTAAACTACCTTACTGTGTATAAAGTATTAAACTAGCTCCACCTCAACCAGCTACAAAAGTAAAATGTCATATAGATGCATCAATATTAATCTTATAATGTCAAAGGTGGTAATATGTCATTCACAGGTGTGAATGTAATGGAGTATTTTTTAACGTTACGGTATTGGAACTTTACTTAAGTAAAGGATGCGAGTACTTGGTTTTAAGTCCAAACACTCAAATGAATCAAGTATTACTGGTAGGCTACTTCGTGACACACATCTCCATCTAGTGGACAAGAGAGCGCACAGTGAATTATGCACTTGAGGTAGTTTGAACTAAATTAAAAGCAGCTACAGTTATTCTGTGTTATTGTTTTGAGTCCTGTTGCTCCTTGCCATGAAACATGCAAACACAACTGGCTCTTGATCCATTGAATATTTTTAACTAGGAAGGTTTTGAAACCAGATGGATCTCTTTGGGTTTTGTTGATGCGTTTTAGGCGAGCCCAGCAGAATGACCAGAGGAAGTTTGATTTCTGAGTCTCTTGGGACATCAAGACTGACCTGCAACCAAAGAAACACAACTTATAATACTGTACTGTATCCACTTATCATAGTGCAGTATACGATTGCTTCGCTCTGGCTCTCAGAGAGCAGGTTGGGAAGAGGAGAACAAGACTGAACAGGTCGGGCTGTAATATGACACTTTGTCCAACATGTAACCATCATTAGCATGTAGACAAGCCACGAGGGCTGTCCCCTGTAAGCCTCCTCCCTCTTTCTCTCTCTCTCTCTCTGTCTCCTCCCTCCTCATACAGCCAAGTGGTGGTGCTGTTGTTATCATGCATGGCAAAATACGTATAAATACCTTGAGTCTGTACTCGAGCTTCATCATGCAGCAGTTGAAGAAGGTTGGGTGGAGTTGTGTAGGGATACTCAGAACTTTGGTTGTGGACTGACTGGTCTCAGCTGCAATAGGGTCACCTGTCCCAAAGAGGGTTTCACTTGTGTGTACAGTCCTCTTTGACTGAGCAACAAAGGTCTGCTTTTCACACAGGTAGAATGTGGGTGTTACTGTGCGTGCAGAGTCATTGAGTACCTCCACAGAGACTGCCATTGCTTCACCTATTTACATTTAGGAAGAAAATAACACCATTAAGGTTTCAGTTCAGGCCATTCAGAAAAAAATATATATATTCTTAGGGAAATCTGTTTACCTTGCTTTACTGCCAGTTTTTCAGAGGTAGCATTCATAGCAACCTTTGCCGAGCCATAAAATGAAATCCTGGTTGCATATTGTTTTTCCTACCAAATAGAAACATACGCCATCAAGAAGCTACATCTTTAAACACATACGTGGGAAAAGCACAAACGGATTCAAGTACAAAGGCAACTCTATTCCATACCTTTAGTCCGATGATTATCATTTCTGATCTGGAGGCAAAGGGGAACTCAGACTTGGTCAGAAAAGGGAACCCAGTCTTGGTTTTGTGGAACAGCCAGATGGACTGAGTCAGCTGTGCTCGCACACTATATGTTATTTTGCCCCATTTCCCCTCGTAAGATGAAGGCATATCTCTGTAAGCAAATATGCCCAATACATAACAATGATTATTTTATTTCACCAGCTGGAAAGGAAATGCGTTTATCATAAATATAGTTATAAATATATATTCCACACTCACGTATTTGGAATCACAAAGGTGAATGGATACACATTTTTCCCAGAGCGGATGATTTCTGAACCTTATGAAAATAAATATTTTTGTTAAATGAACATTCACAAATTTGTTAAAGACTATAAAAAATGAATTCAATTCAAAAGCTTTATGTTCTTTTGTTTTGGCAGACAGTGTGACAATACTCACCATCTCCTTTGTTTTTATCCTGAATAACAATGTGCTCAAAATAAAAGTATGTCTTCTTGTCCCTGTGCGTCCCTGTGGCTTGTCCTTCTTTTTCGTGCCATGTTACTTTAGCTTTTCCTTTGGCTTTGACCAAAAAACACTGCACTTTGGTTTCCCCGCTGGTCACCACTGTCACCCTGCCAGAGAGGGTGTCACCGGGAGAGAAGGTGCCTCGTTCATTCACCTTGTTGTAATCCACCAAGAGATGCTTAACAGTCATGATGAGTCTACATCAAATAACCTTACCAAAAATAACGAAGTGAAAACTGTACGATCCTCCTTTTGTGCTAAATAATTCCTATTCATTTACTGGAAGCAGGTTTGACTTGATCTACGGTGGTATTGAAGTGGAGCCTTTCGTCGATGAGCATGGATCAGGCAAGGCTGACTTATGTACTGTAGCAGTGGACTCCTCCACAAGCTGTATCTGTGTCACACCATGTGATCAAGAGCTGCAGGTGTCACTTTCACACAGGTAACTCTAGCCGGCAGCTTTGCAGGCTAAATTAGGCCAAATAAATTGAGAGATTGAGTCAAAGAAACATCGAGAACTTGGTGTCAAAAATAAATTGCATCTGCTAAAAAGGTGGCTTAGTGCTAACAGATTCAAAGTCAGTACACATTCCTCAACCTTTCTATTGACATAAGATAATGCTGTTTACCTTAAACTTGCCATAGCTGGATGATGCAGCAGTTCAAGATGGAGGGCAGTTGTTTTCTAAGGGTGGTAATCTGCATAGTCACACTCTGTTTGCTGCGAGACGGCGCAAACCCTTTTAAAAATGGAATTCATGCATAATATTGACATATGTATATAGTTGTAAGTGGTAATACAATTAAAGTTAGTTAAAATATTTCATTTTGCCTGTGGGTGTGTACACACTGACATCAATAAAATTATGAGATGAAACGTAAGATACAGTTTAGCCATCTTTACTGGCCAAATGAAAATATATACAGGTATGAATATATAGCCACCTCACTTTTGATTAATTGATTAAGAAAATATAGTATATACTAACTATTACTAGAAAATGATTTATAATTTATAAAGGAAACATCTTCAATACATATTCATGTACAGTGTAACATGTACAGTGTTACTGTATGTTTAGTCAACGGTAATTATGTCCTTCATTTAAGACAGCTGATGAAAATCTAGTTAGTATACACATAACACATCAATTCACAATTAAATAAAAAAACACAATTTTGGCACCAGCATGACTGGAAACAAAAAAAAATTATATGGTCACTATTAACCAGCCGTTTTATCACAAAAGAAGAAAAACATTTGATTTAAAGCATCTTAAGCTACAAACAAACATGAGCATGGTAAAACACGATGCAATCTACAAACAAAGTGTTGGTGCTTGAGTTGCATTGTGGGTAATAGACGGCAGATTTTGAGAAAAAGAAAGAGGAACAGTCCATCATGAGTGGGCCCATGTTAAATGAGTGCAAAGCCATATCTGTGGCGTATTTACAGTGCACTCTTATAGTTGATAGAAGGGTACATTGTATGAGCTCCATAGGGAGGTGGGGGCTCCGCAGCATAGGGTGCTGGTTGGGGTTGAGGCTTCATGCTCCAGGGTGCTTGGTCCTGGTTCCCAAACGCTTCACATCCAAAACCAGCAGCACCAGGGGGTTGTTGTATAGCAGGCACCTCAAAGGAAGGTAGGATGACTATAGGAAGCTTGATCTCTGGGTCCGGAGCATATTTGATATTTAGATGGATCTGTGAAAAATATTGCTGATGTTATAATGTTGGATCTTTTTTAATATCACCAGAATAGCGTACAGTATTACATACTGTGTGCATAATGGACTCATTTGGCAAACACTATGAACAATGAGTGAGGAATGGGTTAAAAGTCTCCAAATGTTAATATTCAGAATGTTGTTGTTTTTTGATGGATTACATAGTTGGAAACTTTCTGTGTCAATATGGTTTAGTTATCGTGTCTTTCTTTTGTTTCTTACAGTATTCCTTTGTTTTGTTTTGTGTACTGTAGGTTAACACTCTCTCTGGTGTTTGTGGGATTCAATAGGTGCTCTGCCTTTTCACAAGTTACTTTTAGTATTTGCTTGGTCATTTTACAAACAGTCAGTGAAGAAAATGGTCCCTTTGTCATTTTGTATATTTCATATCATGGCATAAGTAATATGCCTTTTCCTGGAAAGCATTTGTTTATAACATCACTATATCACTTTTTTATTTTTATGTCACCTGTAACTGAAAAATGAAACCTCATTCACTAACTAAAAGTACAAATAAGACATTAAAACAATGAAAACAGAAACATGGAAAAGCCCACAAGCTTCCCATCGCTATTCCAACAAAACAGTAATCAATATATGAACAGAATGGCTGAATGGCTCAGAAAGAGGAAATGCAGGATTACCTTCCACAGCTTTTGACCACAATATAATGAAGTTTACCTTCAGCCTGTACTCCTGCTTGATGATGGAGCAGTTCAAGATGGAGGGAGGTAGTTCCCTGGGGATGGTGATCACCTTAGTCACGGTCTGTTTTCCAGAAGATGCAATAGACTCGATCTTCTCCTTTAGGATCTCATTTGTGGAAACTCTCCTGCGACCCTGGGCGAAGAAACTCTTCTTCTCATACAGTATGAATTTGGGCTTCACTGAACGAGTTGACTTGTTGTTGATTTCAACTTTGACTTGGAGAACCTCGCCTGTAAAATAAATGCAAACAGTATTTGACAGCAGTTGCAATTCTGCATTAGGATAATGTGTATGCCCTCGCAGTGTGTTTCTTTTTGATTGATAGGTGGACCACATGACAACCTAGGAGAAAAAAGTGCTATATTGTTACTTGAAGACATTATTAAACATTAAAGAGTAACTTAACACCAGGCTGATCAGGGATGGTATAAACTCAATCAATGAAGACCAGTCATTGTGAAACTTCTATCAGTCAACAGACAAGATATTTAAGCAAAAGCTCACCACAGGCCTTTGTATGTTGTGATTATATCACTTTGCTTTATATAATCACAACATATCACAGACTGAAGTGAGCTATTGCTTTTATAAAACAGCCATCAAGTATGGCAATAGTAAAGTTATATTCACATTCCAATGTGAATAGTCATCTATTCATAAATGATAAAGTTCACAATAAAACAGGCTGATATTAGCTTATTGCACGTATCAGTGTGTATGTCGCCAATCAGTAACAAGAACTTGTAGTACAGAAATGTCAAACAGTGTCACCATTACATACTGTAGCGTGTCATAGGTTTGTTTTCTGTGATTTGGTTATATTTATGTATCAGCCAATTATACCATTATCGGACTCCCAAATATCAATATTGTATCAGCCTTAAAATTCAATATTAGTCAGGCTATAGTAAATATAAACTAAAATCCAATGCAATCTTATTGTATCTGATAAAACCTTAGAATATAAATTCAAAACAATCATTAAGACCATAAACTTTCAGTCTCATATGATGCCCCTTAACAAGATTTTCTTTCTACCTATTCGGTCGTTTATGGAGACTAACTAGCTGGTGCTGATACAACTTTGCTCTGAATGTACCTGTTAGTTTAAAGTGCACCACTTGCACCACAGGTAAAACCTGTTGGACCTGTATTGACCCTCCCCCACACCTTTCACCTTCTGTGTAGGGATGTGTGCCCTGCCGCCCTTATGTTCCCAGCATGTCCAGAGCACACAGGTAGGTAATCTCGCTGTTTCTCTCGAAAAATATTTTAGCAGTTGGAGGAATAATGTCTGTAGATGCAATGTTATATTCCTATCATAGTTTACATTCAGCCCAAGTACTCAAGTGGAGAGAGCGGCACAGGAAAATGAGATTGCGTTTTTAAAGAATGGAACTGCTGCAGTCTCAATAAACGAGGCTCTTTTCTGCCAGCATCAAGTCATTCTCATGACGACGTGTCACTCAGTTCCTGGCAGTTTAGAGAGGAGTGAGTTGTTACCAAACAAGATTTTGTAACTCGTGTTTCCGTGACGAAGCATGTAGGTAGTGTAAACATTCTTCAACAAATAGCTGCTCTGTGTGTCGAGTTACTGTACAAGGAAATGCTTGTGAATCTAAATTCATCAGATGAGGGACTCATTCTTACCTTGCTTGTATCCCATCCTCTGAGTGTGAACATCCATTGAAATGTTTCCAGAGCCAAAACCTTTGACAGATTTATCCTTACAGCCAAACTGGGGATCCTATGAGAACAGACACCCCCCCCCCACCTCAGATCAGAACAGCCTCTTCTGCTTAGACAACATTTATCATTAAATAGTTGCAGTTTTGAAGATGAATTATTTCTTACCATAAGTCCAGGAATATCCATGTCTGCTTTGGACACAAATGTGAAGTAGGTTTTAGCCTCTTTTGTCAGCTTCATTGATTGTTTAAGCTCTGCCTTCACTTGATGAACAATTTTGCCTATGCAGGTTTTCAAAGATGATGGGATGTTCCTGTGAAGTAGAGTATAGAAAAATTTAAATGACCTAAAAAGAAGTAAAACATCAGTTTAAAATAAAGATAAAGTAAAGAACTGGTACCTGTCCGGAATCTTGAAGGAAAAAGGAAATACATGTCTTCCTTTACCAATGACCTCAGTGCCTGGAACCAAATACGTATTATCAGTCCTTAAACTGCATTTTATTAATGAATCATTGTCTAAAGTTAACAATTGTATTAATTTGACACTTTACCATCTTCTCTTGCCTCTCTCAAGATATGATGTTTGACATCGTAATATTTCTCATTGGCCCAGTACACATGATGTTGATATTGTCCATAATATTCGCTCCATCTGACCCGAGCTTCTCCTTTTGCTGTAAAAACAAGCGATTGGATTCTGGTTTCCTTCGAAGCCTCTATGATGATTCTCCCATTGACGGTATCTCCATTTGTGAAGGTGTTGTTGCTGTTGATGGCATCATATTCAATTGCGAAGTTTTTGATGGTCATTTTCCACAAAGAAATACACAGTGGAAAATCAAAATCATCTCCAAAAAGGAGAGTCAAGGCTTGTAAACCCCGACCAGCTGCTCCACGCTGTTTATATCTCATCTCAGGAATGCAAATCTGGTCAAACCTGTTTTTCTCTTCTGTGCCCAAAGGTGAGAGACACACATGTGCACACAATGACTGGGAACATTCAGCTTTGCAAACTCATGACATATTTTCCATTCACATCAAACGAATTTCCATTACTGTACATATTGCACTTGCTATTTGACATAATGGGACTTAAGTCCAAAGCAAATTACAGTTGAATGACCTGGAATATTAAGCAGAAGACTAAAAGAAAGTAGTTTCACCAGCTTTCGGAGGATCAGCTTCAGTTAGTCAGTGTCTGTGACTACACAAACTATGGTCTGGTTACTTATAATCCCCAGTCATTTGGATACATATTTTTTGCATATAGGTTAATAAAAAAATATTCAAATGGTGTCCATTATCTCACAGAAATTTCTGGAAGGATGCAATGCTGCTGATTTTTTCAAAGATGTCATTTTCAATATTTTGTGCACCACAAATAAAATCCCAATTGTTTTATTGTATTTGGGTGGCATCGTTAGTTCCAGAGGCAGATATGAATTAAAGTCTGTGACATTGTTTAGAGAAAATGGTTTATTTCCAAAGCATTTCATGTTTATAGCAAGTTTATCACACTTTTTGAGCCTTGAATTTGGAACAGCCAGAATAGCCCCACCTGAGGCTGCGAGCTGGCTCATATGGAGTCAACATTTCCTCTTTGTAGCTGGGGGCCAGACTCAAGTACGGTTTAATCTTTGCTGAACAGTTATTAAATAATGGTATCCGATACCAGATCCAGGCTGTAAGTCAGTATCAGACCGATATCTGATATCAGTATTGGTGCAACTCTACTATCAATATTATTCCACTACGTGACACTCCCCTGTATAGAGGTAAATAGAGCTACACTTCATTGCAGCGGATAGTGGCGGATTCTACCAGACCACTCAGACCAGAAAGTCTTGAAAGAAAAATCTCTCTTTAAGAAAACAAATGCATAATAGTCCTTTGGAACGTTGTAAGAGCAGTGAATATATTATCATAACAACAACAATTAGCAACGCTAATGAATGAATAAATTAACGTACACTGTAATTTATATTTCTATCTCTTTATTTCATGCCTTTAAAATGTCAAAGTATCTTCACAGTCCCGTCATTTATTTCCAAAATCCGTCAGAGGAGGGTACATTCCATATGATCCATAGGGAGGTGGGGGATCCAAAGGTCCGGATGCTGCTGGTGGTTGTGGTGGTACAATGCCCCAGGCTGGTGGGTTTGTGCTCCCAAATGGTTCGAATCCAAAGCCAGAAGCAGCAGGTGGTGGAGCCAGCACAGCAGGAACCTGAGGGGCCGGCAGGATAACTATGGGAAATTTGATCTCCGGGTCTGAGGCATATTTGACATCGAGGTAGACCTGTAGAAAATATGGTTGAAGTCACATGGTTGGATTTTGTTTAATAACCAGAATAATCATAATGTATTTTGTGCATTCACGATTATTTACATCCTGTGTGCATACAAAAATTATTAAATTATTAAATTTAAAATCGACAGATCTGTGGAGTTTCTCTACAAAGAATCACACAAAAGTACCATTTTAATCCTTGTGTTTACCAGAGATGTGCTCATAATTAAAAATGACTGATCGACAAAAGAAATCTTGGTCGAAGGAGACCAAAATGACAGATTAGTTAACTAATCGAGTAAGAGGGGGCAGCCCTAGAGTCTGCCAAGTGCAGCTGTAGGAGACACTCCTCTTGATAGGTAGACATAACAATACCCAATATCCCTTCACTTTTCATTTTCAATCTTGCTGCTACATAATTCAAAGATTATATAATCATAATTTTTGATGAGTTGCATTATCTATACTCTTAAATCCCCTGTGACCCCTTGATGCTGGTCAGTCATGTAGTGTGAAAACTACAACTTCAAGACTCCCAGTTACAAGACAGCAAGTTGTGTAGTGTGAGCAGCAACCTGGCGACGAGTAGTCGAGTAGTGTGAAGTTGGCTTTACCCGGAGTCTGTACTCTGCTTTGATGATACTGCAGTTGAGGATGGAGGGCTCCGCATCAAATGGGATGGTGATGACTCTTGTGAACTTTTCGTTAGCAGACGGAAGAATGGGATCTCCCACCTCTTTAAGGAGGTCTTTAGTACTGACTCTTCTCTTCCCTCGTGCAAAGAAGATGTGCTTTCTGTACACACAGTACTTGGGCGTGATCTTGCGAGAAGAGTTGTTCTGAATGCAGGCCAGAACTTTTAATCCCTCTCCTGTAAAACAGACCAGAGATGTCAAAACAATCCTTGGCATGACACTAACAAGTGTCAATATCACTTTAAGAGCAGTCACCTTGGAAGAATCCTGTTTTTTCAAGATTCACATCCATGGCTACCATTCCAGAGTTGAGAACTTTCAGTTTCTTATCCTTAGACTCGTGCTGGGGTGTCTGAAAGAGGACACGATTTATTAATACACCTAAACAACAACCGAGAGAGCGAGAGAGCGAGAGCGAGAAGCACACTTAACCTATTATCTTTTAGTCAGGTGTCTCAAATGTCCACCTCCAGTGTCTGCCAGCCAAACAAACAAAAGCAGTGCCAATAGAGTCGATTCAACCGGTGAACAACTAGATGTCATCTCTACCAGTGACACAAAAAATATCTACGTTTCAGAACATAACCTCAAAGTGATCATTCACCAGCAACACTGGGTATGTTGTGTGCCTTTTTAAAGCTGTGTTTAGGCAGTATTGGTTGGCTGAATGCAAAGACAGTTGAGGTTTAAGCACATTGCTAAATGCACCTTGCAGGTACTAAAGAAAGACTGGATTTGAGTCATTCAACTGCTTTCACCAATGCATGCAGATTTGGAATGACAGGAATGCAGATTTATATCTAAGCACACACCATGAGCTCAGGGTCACTGGTCAGGTCTTCCTTCGACACAAAGTTGATCTTTGTTGAGTCTTTAGTGGGAATCCTCATTGATCTGCTCAGCTTGGCTTCTAGCGAGTACACGATTTTACCAACACAGCCTTGAAAGGAGGAGGGCATATTGCTAAAGCACAAGAGCAGAAGGCCATGAGATGACTGGACATAGTTTAATGCATTGCACATATGAGACAGTATAGGTCTAAAAAAATAATACAACCTTTGACTTTTCTAAATGAGTTCATTAAACCTTTAAAAAATAAACTACCTGCAAGACCTGAGATTGATCTATGTAGATGTTTTTTTAGAAGATTATATGCAAGTACCATATTTTCATCAAGTGTGGAGAGAATAAGTGTGTGTCTAACTGAGAGAAAGACTTTAAGAATGATTACTTACTGGAAAGGGATCTGAAAGGTGAATGGGTAAACATGACATCCTGCGGCAACAACATTTCTGTCTGAAAAGCAACAAGAAATTGTAAAATATAGCTGCAAGGGGCAATTGCAGGTTCTAACCCTTTTCACGCCCTACAGAAGGAAGTGCAGTTTTGGGCTTTACAAAGATGAGCAAAAATCACCTTTGTCGGTTTTAATTCTGTCTAAAGAAAGATCAATCACACTCTTCAGTGACTAGGACCATGATAAATGGACTTGTATAACACCTTACCGGTCGTCCGAGCACTCAACCCACTTGAACACTATCAATCTCCAGTCACACCCATTTACAGCCGGGAAGGGAACTGCTGATCTCCCTATTGCAGGACGCCAAGCTCTACCTCTGAGCCACGGTCAGAAAGACGGAAAGTATTGATACTGGTGGTGCCACAAATTGGGTGGTTTGAGAATAGTTTTACAAATGTGGTTTAACATTAAATAAAGTATTTATCTATCTATCTATTATCATGAAACCTATCCTGCAAGTTTTGCACTAATTGGAGTGGTCGATTTAATTGAAATATTCAGACATGTTCTGCAAATTTTGTGATGAGTGGCCCAAGGGTTTTTGACTTTGGTCTACTTTTGTGATGAGCTATAATTTAATAATAAAAATAACAAACCTGGGTTAGAACCTGTAAAAGAACATGTTCACTCCAAACATCCTCCCAAATGTTCAAGTTTGAACTACCCCCCCCGAGGATAGGAGCCTCAGCTCAACTGTGAAATACTTACATGTTTCTCCATTGTTTGTCAGTAGTGTTTGGTTGTCACCTCCTGCAGAAAATCAGCACAATGAATTAACAGCAATACACATTCGTTACCTGAGCTATGAAATATTTGTTCTTAAGAAAAGTCAGAAAATCGTAGAAAATATCCATCACAATTTCTGTAAACCCAAGAAGACATCCAAGTTCAGTTTATGATCACATTAATGCTCACAAACAAAAATCCTCACAACTGAGGAGCTGGAGGACATTTTTAGGGCACATAAATTACCTAAACAACTATCAAAACAGCTGCTGAATAATTTATTGTCTACTGACTAATTGATTTGACAATGTCATCATATTAGCATAGCATGTGTATATGTATATGCATGTGTATATTTTTATTATTTTATTTCATTTATTTCGTAGTTTAATTTGAATGTATCCAACTGTCTCGCTGAGCTTTCTGTTATTAGTATTGCCTTGTTTTTTGCTGCTTTGTCTGTCAAAGCACTTTGTTAACTCTGTTTTTAAAGGTGCTATACAAATAGTTATATATATTTTTTTTCTTATGTAATATGAAACAATGGAACACAGCTCAATGCACTGCACACTGATGTTTTGTATGCAATTCTGCACACATATCACCATTACTTCTGTGCATATCTCATCTTCCACATGTCGTGCCATAGTTTACATGTCAGGATAAAGAAGGTGCAACGTGCAAACAGGGTGCCGCCTTCAATGAAAAGAAGTTCAAGACACAAGGAAAGCTGCGCTCTCAGTTTGGGAATGATCACGAGCTTTCAGTTTAAAGCTTCTGCAAAGCAACCAATGTTAAATCCTTGTTATTTAATCACGCACTTACCTTTGACATCTTTGTTTCGAATGAAGTAATGTTTGATGCTGAAGTACTTGTCCTTGGAGTGGTAAACCACAGTAGTTTGACCGTACCTCTCGGTCCACAGGACTTCTGCTTTCCCCTTGAATTTGATCAACAGGGAGTCTATTGTGCACTCTTTGTCCAACTCCAGCGTCAGCTCACCTGAAACGCAGTCGCCATTGGTAAAGGTGTTTTTCTCATTAACGGGGTTATAGGTGACTTTGAGGCTCTTTACGGTGGTCGGCATGTTGCGTGTTCAACACGGAAAATCCCCGATATCAAATGAGGCGAAGTGCATACACTGGAGTAAATTAAGACCACCTCTAACTTCCGCGATGGGTGTGTCATAGTCCAGAGGAGGGACCCGACCACACATACGACCATCTAATGACTTATAACACAAATAGTACAACACCGTGGGTGATTTTATTTGTTGAATACAATGAAACGATTTGGCTCCTGAAGCACGCCTTTGTTGCCTCAGGCTGCATAACTCAAAACAGACATGCAACGTGACATACATGACTGACAATGTATGTAATGTAAAGACAACTGAAAATACCCTGGCAGGTTCAAAACAAACTTAAAACTTAAATCTATGGCAAAGTGTCAGGTGCCACGTTCTTGTCTCAAACAGTATGCAGTACAGACAAGGTTCCAAGCCTGAGGACCTGAAGCAGAACAGGCTGATAATCAGCAGGTTTGCTGGTATTACTGTATTAGAAGTCCTTTATTTTTTTACTGTATAATAATGTAGCCTACTTTACTCTATGCTTTCTGTATAAGGTCTTTTATTATCCTTTTTACTTTGCTGGAGGATTGTTTTTTAATCTTTTAGAGTAAAATGTTTTTATTTACAATAATGTATACATATCTATAAGGTTACATGTTTGCTTGTAAAGCAGATGGTATTAACTTGATCACAGGATTTATTTTAAGATGATTTCTGGCTATATTCATGTCAGTGGGCATGGACAAATTATTAGTGTCACGACTCGGCTCAAAGTCGTAACATGAGGGAGACAAGACGAGTTAAAAGTAATAAATAGACGTTTATTTAAAGTACAAACAGACCTAAACTAAACAAATAAACAGCCAGGTCCCCGCACAGGAGATGCGCAGAGAGGCCCAGCCACAGAAGAGGGGCAGCCTTTATAGCTGGGACCAACCCAACTCAGGTGTCGCCCATCAGTGGCCGATTAACATCCTGGAAGACATCCTGAGAGGAAACAGACAGACCCCTGGTGGAAGGGAGGGGTCGTCACACACCCCCTCCATAAAAACAGTGTTTCCACCAGGACCACCAACAAACTGCATACACATTTTAAATTTCACAGATTTCATATTCCAGATTAAAAGTGCATCCCCCCCCCAGCCCTCCAACCAATCTCCACTCTTTAACCCAGCAACTCCAACATGTGGAGAAGCATCTAAGTGAGAGTGGATAAGGAAGGCCAGAGAGATTACACAGATATGGTGAAGCACATGAGGCGAAGCAGGGTTTCCTGCGAGGGCCAGTTCATGCAATGAGCTGCATGAACGAGTGGTGAACGCCCAGAACTGGAATTGTCATAATTGCCAGCTAACAGAAAGCACCAAACTGAACTATCGTAAGCGCTAAGCTGTAGTAGCCTAAAGGTTCCTCTGACAGACGCGCAAAGAGGCAACCCAACTACAACTCAGCTCACCCAACCAAGGCAGGAGCTGTAGCGCTTATGTTCCTGAAGGTAACAGGCCGTTACCAACTTGCCTGTCACCACACAAACACAAAAACCTGTTCACCACATCCCTCCTTTTATTACCCTCTTGCTTACCCTATGAACCATGAATACCTACTGCACACTGCAGCAGCAGTCTTCAGGCTCCACCTGGAAGGTAACTGGATCCAATACCCAGACACCCAACAGGCTGTGCAATGCTCTTGTTACAGAGTCCAGAGCATGATCATGATCACCAGAATACAAAACCAGAAACCAAAACATGCAATTATCAGGAAACACCAGAAACTAGTTTCCCTCAATAAATCAAGGAACAGAATTTAACACCACAGCAAGAGCAGCCCATACACAACTAACATCACTGCCTCCATGGCCCTCTGACTGCCTAACCAGAGACTAACTAAACTCCCCCTAGTCTTCAGGTGCTACTTGTGGTGGGTACTTATGCACTAAAACCCGCAGGCCCGGTAAAGCAACCAGGAACTGGCCACCCACTTGCAACCTCGGACGTGCCCCCGAGACAACTGCTCTAACCACTTTCACGCCACACTACAGAAACCCCCCCAACAACCTCCAAAGGGAGTCCGCTCTTCAGCCTAACAGGGACAGAACAGCAGCAACTTACTCAGTGTATACAGGACCACCAGCACAGCACATGCTCAGTGACACAAACACTCCTCAGGAACACTGATCACTACAGCCGCTACAATATTAACAAACTTTAACAATATTGTTAATATTAACAAACTAACAAACAAACAAATAAACAGCCAGGTCCTCCGCACAGGAGACAGAGGAGATGCGCAGAGAGGCCCAGCCACAGAAGAGGGGCAGCCTTTATAGCTGGGACCAACCCAACTCAGGTGTCGCCCATCAGTGGCCGATTAACATCCTGGAAGACAACCTGAGAGGAAACAGACAGACCCCTGGTGGAAGGGAGGGGTCGTCACATTAGAAAAACCTTTCACTAAATAGAATCCAATGTAACTACAAAATCAAAAATGGCCAAAATGAAAACAACACTGTGTTGACATTATAAGCTTTGTGATGGTAGGATTTATTGAACTGTCGCAATGGAATAAGAGAGGCGAGGCTTCAGCTATATTAATTGTCAAAACCTTGATGTTCATTACTCCAATTCATCCTTCATGCAAAATGATGGAGTGAATACTGGTGGTGAAAGAATTAAATTCCATTTTCATGAATCCATTAAAAAGCTAACATATTCTTCAAAGGTATTGGTCGTGAAAGTCTTCTGTTGTCAGACTGATAAAAGAAATGGACTTGGAAATAATTAAATCTGCATTTTCTCTATGTGGTACTTTGTGGTCTGACTAAGAGACTTTATTATGTATTCATTGTTCATTCAAAAGAAGCAAACATTTATTCTGTATGACATAATTTGCTACTCTTCATATTCTTATCATTATCCTAAATAAACAAGAACAATAACATCATGCTTGCCATCTGCCTGGATAACAGGGTTTAAGCAAAAACGGAAAAGGTGTGAGCAGGCAGACGCTCCCCATCATTGGGATCCGGTAGAGCGGGCAGGAAGACTATGGGGAACTTGATCTCGGGGTCTGAAGCAAACTTGACATACAGATAGACCTGTGGTGGACAAAGAGCCAGCACTTATCATGACAATCGTGCAGCCCAGTTGGCATAAGGACCTACAGACACAGTTTGAGAACAGTTTTGGGAAGAGAAATACACACCTTGAGCCTGTACTCTGCTTTGATGATGTTGCAGTTTAAGATGGACGCACACGTGGCGGGAGGGATGGTGATGATCCTGGTGACACTCTGACCTGCAGAAGGTGGGATGGCGTCACCCTCCTCTTTCAGGATGACTTTGGTTTCGAGTTTCCTCTTCCGCTTTTCAAAGTAACTGTACTTCTTATACAAACAGTACTTGGGCTTAATTTCACGGGATGATGTGTTCTGTATACATGCCACGACCTTTATGCCTTCCCCTGCGAAACAGAGTAGCGCTTAATATACAAGGGTTGTAATCTCAAAACCGGCTCTCATGAATTTAATTCTTCTTCTTAATCTCTGTTTGACTTACACACTGTGTTTGTAATGCTGTTTACACCTGCATTAGTTTGTAGACACATGACAAATGATAGCCAATATATTATCTGAATGCTGTGACAGAATGCAATGTACTGGCATCGTCTCTCATATTGTTACAGTATTCAACATGAATTCTCATTCTCTTACTGGATCTGGATCTAAATCCATAAATGCACCAAAATTATAAATCTGGATTTTAAAGATAATTATTTCATTTAGTTAACAATCACTTTAAATCTAGTCTTTGTACATTTTGATGAGCAGCCGTCTCTTCATCTAAGCAGTACAGAATAATGACAAATGCTAAAATGTAGCCATATAGCACAAGCAGTAAAGGGTTACAAAGTCTGACTCAGTAATGTCTGTTACAACATCTATCTTAAGTTTGCTAGCATTAGCCACTGTAGGCTACAGCTCATACCAGACCAATTAAAGCTGTAGCAGCAAAATCCTTGAGTGTTAGTTGCATTTTTATTCGTAAACTTTTACATTTTAAGAGAATGAAAGTGCTATTAATTATATCAAAATGAATAGCTTTGAATGTAAAGCCTGCCAATTAACTTGTTTTGAAGGAGCACATCCATGCCAACTGTTCCCGAAGTAAAGAGCTTCATTTTTTTGTTGGTGATACTGTGCTGTGAAGTCTGACAGGAAAATGACAAATATGTTGGTAATGTTATTTCTCATTACTGCAGCAGTGTCAATGTCCAACAGCCAACAGAATAAACGTGCATTTGTGAGTGTGTGTGTGCTGTGAGGTGGGTACCATCAACGACGGATCACTGTTTAGGTTTCTTATGCAGATGAGAGTGACCTTCGCCTTAGCTTTGGTGTCTACTCTCATCGCCCTGCTCAGATTTGCCTCCAGTGTGTACTGGATCTTTCCAAATGAGCCTTTAAAGGAGGATGGCAGGTCTCTGCATGACGTGACAACACAACGTACAAAACAGACCGACTGAGTGACAGTAATAGTCGATTTAGATTAAGGAACTACATTATGTAGCTACTCATGTCCAGTGGAAATTAAAGACTGTTTATATTGTAATAGATGATTGTTTCTAATGAAGAAAAAACAAACTTAAACATGTTTTAAATAACTGTTTTTTTTTTAATAACTCACTGTGCTGGGATCTGAAAGGTGAATGGGAAGACATGGGAGCCCTGGCCAACAACATTATTACCTGAAAGGCAATAAAGTTAGTTAATGTGACTCCCGTCACTGATTATACAAGGTTTGTTAATCAGAACATAAACTGATAAATGCAGCTCTCAGACTATACTCTTGTCAGCATGGTTGACCACTTTGAATCGTAAAACTGTTTATTAATCGCCCTGAATGATTATGTAAACTCTTGCATGAATCATGTTGTTATATGTGTAAGTAACTCAAATTTATATTTGTTTAAATAATAGGATTTATTTAATGTCTTGTAAATCCTTAAATCTCATGGGTAAAAATAGAAAAATTACCAATTGAGGACACCATGGTGTGTGTCCTGTTGTACATGCAAATACAGTTAATACAGAATACATTTCTATTTCAACAATGCTAATAGAAAATGATGGGACAGAAGCAATATGACAGCAATAAACACAGAAAATAGAGATGCAACAGTACTGTTGAGTGATTTTAGATAAATTCTGTAACAATTTGTCATAGCATGTGGTCTTTTTAAAGAGTGCCACATTAATCAAATATACATAGAATGGAATAATCTGATTATACTACATTAAATGTCATGAGCAGCTCACTTACCTTGGCCCTCCTGAACCATAACTTGCTTTACACTGAAGTACTTCTCTTTGTTATGGTACGTCCATACATTTCTGTCCATTTGACTTCTGCTTTCCCCTTCAGCTTTACACTGAGTGAATCTATTTTGCAGTTTTTTGACAGCTCTAGTGTAATTTGTCCTGAAATATTGTACCCACTGGTGAAAATATCCCTTTCGTTCATGGGATTATATCCCACTGAAAAGCTCTTAACACTATTTGCCATTTTGCATACAGTGTGACTGCCAAGCAGAGCTGTGAGCATGAAAGGTGAGACAGAGATTGTACATGTTGTGAGGTGTGTCTCTGCATGCGGATAGACTCTGATTTGGTAATAATTAAACCGCAATACTTATAAATCTTGCCTACACGTTAGAACTAGAATGGTGGCTGCTAAACTAAGAATTATTGGCTCTAGAATATAAAATGTTACTTTGGGGAAAGATTTGTGTTGTTTTTGCATAAATCAATGCTGGTTAAATGACAGCATGTAATGAAGAAGTTAATTCTTACTAGTGCTGACAGCATATGCTAATTCAGGTTGCTGCTGGCTCTTCTTTTGTGGGTGTGTCTAATACATATCAAACACATCACAAGCAGGGATCTTGTGAGCTAACCACGTTACTGGAAATAATGAGTTTATGGAATCCAGGCAAAGTGCGTCAGTACACAAGGCGCGTGTCTAAAAGTTTTGAAACAGCTTAATGTTAGCAAAAATCAATATTTATAGAAATCTGTGTAAGAATGCCAAATCATCTCTAAATGTTATTCTTGTGAGCAATTGTTTCAAAAGTCTTATTAACATAGCACTTTTAAAACCAGGGTTACAAAGTGCTCCACCCTTATACAAATAAGACAATAAAAGCTTTGAAGGTGAATAAATAATTACAACAAAATGTTTTTGCCATGTTGTGTCAGTGCCCTATTCACTGTGTATATGACCTATTATAGTACAACATATAATCTATTGTGAAAGCCTACACAGCCAGGGGATATTAGGCTGTCCTGGAAACAGCAGTGGGTTGTTGTTGTTGAGTCACCTTGCACAACTGTTAATGATTTCATCACTACATTTCATCACCATTGACTTGTGATTTATTTAGTGCCTGCTATTGGCTTTGGTTAAAGTCCTAATAGAAACATCTATGTGAAATATGTGTGGTAGTTAGTAGTAGTAGTAGTAGTAGTAAGCATTCTGTGCAGAGCAAGCATGAGGAGTAAGGCCTCAAAGTGTAGTTGCTCCTCACACCGTGAGTCTGCGCGGTGCTGTCCCCTACAGGAACACAGATGCACTGCACCATATTGGTAACCGAGACACAGCTGCAAAAGAGATAAAAGGACTGGACAAACTAAAGACGAATACAAAAATCATCTTGGTGCAAAACATACTGACACCACTTTTTTATTTCAGTTCATCTAAACATTATATATTTATACTGCAATGTTTAAAATCGGTCTTTATTGACGAGTCTTTTTTCATTCTCATATGACACACCCAAGACCTGATGGGTCATTTGGTGACATCTGTCTTTGGGGGTGAGTTGGGACACGTTCACCTTCGATAATGTTTTTATTATCAAACTGACTTAAACCAGCTTTTTAGGCACACATGATGATGATGAGTCAAACCACACACTGATGGAGCAACAATACATGGCACAATAATACATTTTGGGACAATCTATCTACAATCAATTTGGATGTACTTGCAGCAAAAAATGATTTACATGCAGTTCATTGCCCAAAACAGGAGGCAGTGAGGTTCAAGTTTAGCAACAGCTGAAGCTAGTAAGTATGCATAGCTGTGGGCTCATTCTGAATCTGAGCTCACTTCCAATACTGTAGATTAGTTTCATATATATTTAAAAAAAAACATTAATAATGTAATTTTCACACAGTAGCAATATGCAAGGGGCAGCCTGAGATGATGTGAACCCGCATTAGCCAGCCATCTAAAGTTAGTGAAAATTAACATACTGGCTCGCTTAGAGGGAGCGTTAGCTGAATAGCAAAGAGGAAACGGCTTTCCTCCAGGAAATTAAGCTGATTGGGTTCGCAATGACACATAATTAGGCTAAAAAGAGTGAATTTAGTTTACGCGGTACTTGCAGTCTTTTCTCTGCTGAAGGGAGCAAAAAGTAATTTGGTATTGAATCAGTTCAGCAGAGCATTCAGCTGCTTGCATGGAGGGGTCTTCATCATCATCAAAGAGCACATTTACCCTTACTTTGGCTTAACTTCTAATATAGTCAGATTAGAGTAAAATATGTCTCTATATAGTGTTCTGAATGACAGTTAATATGTTAAAACAATAAATTTAAAAAACTGAACTTAGATCTATCAATATTTAAAATAATATAGTATCTGGGACAATCCCTTGAAGATTTGGATTTGACTTCTGACACAGTAACATATTTTCCATTTCGATAAGAACAGGAGAATTTTATCTGAATGATAACAGTGAACATGCATATAATATTAAAATCTTTGGTATGAAACAAGTGGTAATAATATTCAAACTGTAACAGATCTTTTCCCCGATGCTTCAAACTACTATCATAGGCTGAAACTGCATACACTTCCTATGGATGTTTAAATGAATCCATACTGAACAGTGCATCGATTCAACTAAAACACTGACTGAAGGCAGTATGATGCTACACAATGTTTAACAGAACGGCAACTTTCAGTTACAGTACTGACATTTACACTATTAAGTGTACAAGAATGAAATGTAACAGGGAGAGAGAGAGATTAATACGTGTAGTGGTAAATATTAAAAACACACAGAGACAAAACATCAAGTAGTAAACAAGACAGTAAACACACGTAGACTTTGACTGTGGAAAGACTACAGGTAGCAGCTGAATAGTATCAAAGTGAGCAATGTAGAAGAAGAAGCATCCTTTAAGTTTAAACTACTGTATAATGAAACATAGGAAAATACTCAGTGGCCATCTCTCCATGATGAAAAAGCTATACAAAAATAATAAAGGTGAGTCTGATACAAAAAAACCCTGAGAAATAAGGCTCCATCGTGTAATATTAGATTAACAGGCGTTAACAGGGGTGTCACACAGAATGATGGGAACCAGCACTATGAGGTCGGATGACGCTCTTACGCTGAGGTTAACCTACAGGAGACACAAGAAAACAACATAAACAGACTGCAAACAGATACAATAGCTAACATCAGGTTTAGATGTATTTAAAGTAGCAAACGAAAGAGACAAACTGGATGAAAAACAATTCAATTATTTTCTTTTAGCATCTTATAGCTTCACCTCAATTAAGTACTCCACATCTATGATGCTGCAGTTAGAGATGGTGAGCGGTGTAAACGCGGGAATAGCGAGCATGATCGTGACGTGAGCGTCAGGGGTGTGAGCGCTGACGGGCTCTCCGGTCACCGACGCCAACTTTTTCAGAACCATCCTCTGGTTGGTCCTGTTGAAGGTGTAGAAAACCTGTTTCTGTTGCAGTGCCACCTTTGGAGTAGCTGTTCGAGTTGAAGCATTACTGAACCGACAAATGATTTTCACAGTTTCACCTGGAGGAAGAACAGATGGGGGTTATTGTGAGCAAATGGTTCAAGCGTCACTGTCGGGAATATTTCGACATGCAGATGGATTGATGAGTGGATGGAAACAGTACCAGGCATGAAGGCTTTCTTCTCTACGCTGACTGTCATGGTGATAGGACCAGAGGCACACCACAGGCCGCACAGTTTCATGCTGTTGGAGCCCGAGAGAGGAGCCTGCAGAGAAGCAGGAGAACATTTGGGCAATGGACGTAAATGTATGTGAGGAATTGTTCAATTGGATCCGTATATATATATATATATCTCATGAATATTACAGTACGGGGTAAAATAAGTCAACCTGAGCAGTGATTTGCATACTTAACTAAATACCCAATATGCTAACAGGAAATGATACGCTAATGGACCTCCATCAAACTACACCATTAGAATGCTACTGATTTTCTAAATATTGAACAGGTTATGTTTTATGAGGTTTTTGAGATCAGACAGATTGATGAGATAAAGTTTGATGTATCTGAGAGTGCCACTTTGATTTACATTGTGCGTTGCATTGTGGGACAATAGTGTCACACATTTATACTCCACTACATCTCAGAGGGAACTGTTGTACCTTTTACTCCACGTTATTTATCTGATAACTTTATTTACTCTACTCAGAGTATACATTTTCAAACCCTTCCTGTCCAGTGAGAATCATACATCTCCAAATGTGGAGACTTTTTTTCTGATAAACTGAATGATGAAGTGCTCCTTTGTGTGTTGAGACAATTCTCTTAGTTCTTAAAATAAAAAATAAAATAAAAATACTACATCATTTTACTTAAGTAAGGTTTCAATGCAAGGCGTTTACTTGTAGCGGAGTATGTGCACAGTGTGGAATTGATACTTTTATGTAAGTAAATGATCTGAATACTTCTTCACCATTGTTTTTCAGACCTTTATTATTTTAGTTTGATGTAGTTCCTGATAAATTGTGGTCAATCAAATTCCCCTCCAACAAGCCATCCTTAATATTTCAATAAGGATAAGCTGTACATGTTACACAGTGAGTGGGAAGACCCTGGTGGGTTAACACGGTCATGGATTACTTACGTGCAACTCTGGCTGGTTGGTATCGATGCGGTTGACAAAGTTCAAGTCGGTCACAAAGTCTTTGGCCATATGCCAGGGTCTGTGGATGCCCACTGTCAAGGAGTACAATATCCGTCCAAAAACTCCACGGAAGGTAGATGGGAAGTCTCTGCATTGATTTAAAAAAAAGAAACGGAAATAGTGAGACACTGATTTCACACAAGTTTTTGCAGGAATTAAGATGAAGAAAAAATCTCAGATATTATAGAGAACTACCTTAAAGTATCTAAAGCCCTCAGCGACTACATTGAAGAAAACAATACTGATGGACTTTGGGTTGCTTCTAAATAAAGGTTAAGGTTTATGATGATGACTGGCCATCAATATGTCTGGATCTAAAGTACCATGTTTCCTCCCAAGAGTCTCTGTGACAGAAAGAAAGAGAAACAAAGATGACAAAACCCCACGTGGAAAGGTCTGATACACACCCCCGAGGCAGCTGACATGTAAATGGGTACAAATGCCTGCCAGGCTGTAGGCGTGCCGTCCCACCAGTAGCTGCAGGACGAAGACAAACTGAGTGACTTTACTGAACAATGACTGACTGTTTGCAACGCTGCCATGCATCCACACAACCGCAGTGAGCGCTTACCGCTGTCTTCTTGCACGATGACGCTGTTGAATTTGAAGAAGTCCAGGTTTGCCGTGTGGTGTCTCCGACTTCTTCTTCTTCTTCTTCTCCCCCCTCCTCCGCCGGTGGACCAGTGGACGTTCGCCCTTCCTGTCAGTGCCATCGATATTGAAGTGATCTTCGTCTCCTTCGTGAGGTCGAAGGAGACGTGTCCCGTGATCAGGTCGCCACTGGAGAAACTAGGATTCTCATTCAAGACGTCGAAATTGATTTTGAAGTTTTTTATCGTCTGCTGGAACATTTTTGAAACACGAGTTTAAAAAAAGAAAAGCAGTCTGAAGATAAAAACAAGTCTAAATAGTTCACCTACAGTCAACAGATCGATTGTTATGTGCACGCAATCACCAATAAAGTATTGCATTGGTAAAAAACCTTAAACAGTTTACAACAACAAAACATTGGACTGAACAGATTGCGCAGGCGCACAACATACTGGAGGACCAGCCCTGACTTTGGGCGGAGCCAGGGTCCCATGTGTCCAGGATCAGCGGGACGAAGGGCTGAAGAACGTGGGAAGAAGTAAGGGATTGAACCGTGACATACTATGAGACCAGTTGTGCAATATAACTAACTCAAGTGCTGTACTTAAGTACAATCTATTAGTGGACAAAACCAGCTTTGAGATGATTTATAGATTTTAGTTTTTTATACAGACATTTGAAGTTGTTTTGGAGGCTAAGATCATGTTATCTGTTAAGTCAAACAAACTAGTTACTCCTAAAAAAAAAAATCTCTCAAGTTTGTAGCAGGTTAGCAGGGTTTTTGGTAGTTCTACTAGAATCTCTCTGTATGTCTCTAGATGTTATTCTGTATGTACCCAGACTTTCTAACTGTACGATATAATATGTTGGATCTGCTCTGCAGGCTGTTAATCTGATGACATGAAAAACATGATTTGTTTCTTGCATCCTTTCTTCATTTATGATGAAAAAAAAGAGAAATAATCCTGACGCTCTGGCCTGAGGGTATAGTGCCCAGTGTGTTTCTACATTTGTGAATAAAATACATAAACTTTTAAAACTTTGGTATATCACAATCATGATCTGGTTGATGATTAATTATGAGATGACAGATAGTAGAAAATGTGTAAAACATGGCATTACCATCAAAATGATTCAAATACTTTGGCAGCACATTTTCATATTTCAAAATGAATGTTTTGTTTTTTTTATTACTCAAACGGATGGTGTGGCTCGAAATGATAAAAAGTAGGTCTTGGAAATAGAAGTCCAGATGCTGGTGTAGACTGTAAACTCTCAAAGCACATCATGCTGGAGGCTTTCTGAAACAACCACTTCAAGAATTTGCTCAAAAGACGATACTGCTGTAAAAGCGTCAGGATTCTGTGTGAATACTGAAGAATTAACATCCAGATGGCTCTGCAGTGTTATTGTGGTTTAATAATGGAGTGTTGGCTTTGTTCACTCGAGTCACAAAAAAATATATCTTACCTCTACACTTACCTCTAGAGGTATAGTTTGTGGTAGTTTTGGTTTTGTTTGTAACATCTCCTTCCAAATGAATATCCCTGTTACTGGATAATCCACATAACATCCTGACATGCATTTCCATAGAAACTATTTATTTTGTAGCAACAATTTCAAAGTGTGGAAATTCAATAAAAGCTATCAGCATTCCTTGATATCAGTATGATTTTTGTAATTTGGGTGAACTGACCCTATAGTTAGTCAACCACTAGATGGCACTAAATACTTTATTCTGATACTCATTATGCTTCCGACTGTACAGACCATAACTATAAAGACTTACTGACAACTTAACTTGTCATTAAAAACCCACGTCCATGTTTCATTGAGATACATCAATTATTTCAGAACTATGAGCTTCACAGTGGCATTTTAAACATAACGTTTTGTAATGCTTTAATAACAAGTGGTTTAATTGCCCTTTGATAGGTTTATGTTACACAATACAGCCATAAAATGCTGATAAAGAGCCATTAAAACAGACAGCAAAAGGCATAAAAAAACTACCGGCAGCAGTTAACTTGACCACATATCTTCAGGATAGACCTGACGCCAGTTTCCTCTAAAGGATGAGATTTTCTTTGAAGTGTATTGAGGCACAATATATTGTACAGCGGACTTGTCAGAGATTATGTTTGGACTGTTTCAGATATATGGAAGTCGTGCATTACTAGACTCACTCTTCCCCAGCGTGGCTCTACTGTATGTTGAAACGCACAGTACATTGGAACTATCTCCATTCCACCACACGTCTAGTACAAAGTTGGCAAAACCTCCATGCCCTTTTTTATGGTTCATTTTCAATTTGCAAAGTGTTTATATGTGGTTTGTATTTAACTTTATCAAGTTGAATGTTTGACAAGACAGTTTGTGAGATTTAGATCAAAGTCTTGCGCTCGCTCTTCAATCGCATTTTGAAACAGGAACAGCTCAAAAGCGGAGGTCGCTTCAATCAACAAACTTTAATCATCATCATCTGGTATTCTGTAACTGTCCATTAGCTATACTCAAAGACTTAACATTAAGTCTTATAAACAGTGGAAAGACTGTTTTGTTACGTTGATAAATGGAGACCCAGATAGTGGCATTCACATGAAATCAAAATCCCATCTGTATTTCTTTGATGTTGTGAAGGATTACTCGTGACACTCCTGGAAAGTTTATCTTATTCATAAACTGCTGCATAACGTCTCTTGTGTTTATTCAAGCCTATTAATCAAAAAGGGCAGAGTAATGAACAAGAAACAATTGACAAATAATACATTGTGTGATAATAATCCCGTTGCCTTTATGCCTCCGTGGCAGGTTTTCTGACTCAGAATCCGTGCAGTGAGAAGCCTGGCTCCTGAGAGGTAACGTGTGGTTATGGTTGTGTGAATGGTAGGTTGCTGTAAATGCGGAAGTCTGATGTAGATGAGTGTTTGGCACATTCTGCTTTCAGGTAAAAGAGTCTTAGCAACATGATCTTTTGATGGGGATGTTGGACATATTGGACTCACACACACAATCATTTGTAACCGGCTTTGGCTTCAGCTGTCTCTGATATGGGCACCTATCAGGTTTAGTGGAGCTCACGGTGACTTGACTTTGCCTGCCAACTCGGTAAACCAACCACACGCAGTATGATGGCTGTACCCACACACACTGTATACACACACACACACACACACATCTATCTCTTCCATCCATCTCTTTATCTCATAGATATCGCGTCTCTTTGTTAATTGGATCATCCAGCTGTGAGTGGTTGGTATTTTGATCAGTCGTGTCCAGTACTGAGTTGCATCAAGATGACACATTTATTTTGCTTGTCTTGGTTAATTTCTTCTTCATGTTGTTCACACTTTTTCCCCAAATATACACAAACAGATTTGGAAACATAATATTTCCTCTTATTATCTGATTCTCTTTGACAGCTTCCATAATGAGGCAGCCGGTGTGTGTGCAACATGTATCCCTTGTCATTAATGTTTTCATATACCTGTCAATTCTTCGTACGAGCTCAAACCGAGTAATTTCTTGGAATTAATCACTCTTCAATGTTTTCGTAGCAATTGCTATTTTCACTAAGTCACCCAGTTATGACCCTATTGTTTGTTGTACGGGAGCAGAGTAGACATTTCAGCTTATCAGATCTAAATTCAAAGTGAAGTAAAAGAACCCAGAGGATAAGCCGCGTTATTGATCTGTAGTTTCTACACATCGCCTCTCTCCTTTAGTTAATCCACAGGGTCAGCTCTAATGACATTGAGGAGCTCCTCTGGCAGTCGGCACTGCTACCATTTGCAATTTAGATAGAGGGAAATAGAAGAGGAAGAGGAGGGGGGGAGGGGAGGAGGGGAAGTGAAGGAGAAGGGAGATGGGGGAGGAACAGGAGGGCTGAAAAAAAGTGACAGGGAAAGGGGGTAAAAGAGATGATACAGGAAAGACAGACACTGAGAGGATAGGTGCACTGCAGGGAAATGGTTTTGGAAAGGGAAACATAGAAAACAGTGTAGGTGTATTTAAATGACAGAAGGATTCTGCTGATTGGGTTATGCCATCTCACACAATAAATACTCACAATAAAAATATGGCAACTTTCGCTTAATCCATGGAATAGTTAGACATTTTGGAAATTAAGCTTATTTGCTTTATTGCCAAGAGATTGATGAAAAGATTGATACCTCTCTCTCATATCCGTCCGTTAACTAGGAAATATGAAGTTACCGCCATCAGCCTATTATTTTAGCTTTGCATATGACTGGAAACGGGGAAACAGCTTGCCTGGCTCTGTCCAAAATAAAAATAATCTGGCTACCAGCACCTCTTAAACTCAATAATAACACATCATACATCGTTTGTCTATTCTATACAAAACCTTCCTTTTTTTCAGATTTTTCACTAAAAATATATACTCATTAGTGAGCTTTAGAGGGCGGGGAGGGGAATTTTGTAACCTTCAGACAGAACCAGGCAAGCTGTTTCCCCCTTTTTCCAGTCTTCACGCTAAACTAATCCAATTGGCTATTGGTGGTTTCATGTTTCCTCGACAAGTAAAAGAATAGGCTAAAGTACATTTTCAAGAACATTGAACTACCCCTTTAAGCAAGATATGCAGGAACCTTAATGTCTCAGTGATGGAAACATGTAAAAATGTGCACTCAGTAGAGTGCATATCTATGCCAGGTGCGTCTGCAACGACCACTGCTGTATTGTGTGATTGAATGAGTATACAACCCACAATTGGCTAGACCCCCGTCTAGACAGTAGAGCTGTTAGGCGTCGTAAAACATACTTCATTCAAACTAACAAAACAAGAGGTGATGTATGCAGGCAAACGGCTCGAAGACATTGTATCAGACACATCATATACTGTAATTTAGCAAAAAACTAAATTAAACTCAACAAGCTGTCTGTCCGCGTAGCAGCGGTTGATTGGCGCAATGTACACTGCAGTGTGTGTACTGGTAGTTCCGGTAGCTGTTAGCCAAACATGCCTTCCAAAACACTAAGAGTGAGCGCACTCAAGTGTGTTATCACTAGAAGCCATACCAGCCGGGGGCCTGTTAGTGGGTGAAGAGTCAGCATGCAATCAATGACAGTATATAAAACAGGCAATAAAAGGTGTTTTGATAAAGTGCGAGTCACCACAATCACGGTAGGTCCTTGAGCATGCAGCCATAACTGGCTACGCAAAATATAATGCAGTTTGCTGTAGCGAAATGCAAGATCAGCTGTGGACAGACACAGATTTGCACACTCACTCACAGACACACGCACTCAAGCAGGCACACGCACACGACTAATCACATGATCCTCCTGGTGAAGATAATAAAGAATGAAGCATCCCTTGAGGGCAACGCAAACTAAAACACTATACAAATGTGTTTGAATATATGTAGATCTTTCAATGAGAAGTTCAGAGGAAAGGGTTAACTATGTCACATTTATGCAGTTATGTGCTTTTTTTTTCACCCACTAAAAGAATTCCTGCAGCCAAACAGGAAGTCGGAGAGGGAACAGTTGGCTACCCTAATCGTGTGCAGATCC